GCTGCCCTTAGTGGGCATCTCTAAGGGAGGCTTAGAGGGAGACGTGGAAGGCACTACCTATGCACAGGAGTCAGTTGTGGAGATTTCCTTTGAGGAAAAAGGAGACAAAAGTTCAAGTCAGAACTGAGAGACACCAAAGAACCAAAGGTGTCCTTTGAGTATGGCCATCAGAAGTCACTGCGAACCTTGGTGTGAGTTGGGTCTCTAATAGGGTGGAGGGAGAACTGTGGCTAATGAGGGGAAATGCAGCAACCCAAAGGCTTTGGCTGCAGGAGGAATACCCCAGGAAAGGATCCGAGTCCAGAAGGCATGGCTTGCTTTCCTGTTGAGATGAAAGAGCTTTCTAAATGATACAAAAGAACAAACTGAAGCGAGTTGGGCATGAGGGTGCACATGGGCAATCCCAGCATTTGGGAGGCTGATGCAGGAGGATCTCCAGTTCAAGGCAGCCTGGGCTATGTGGAATGAACTTGTCTTTAAAAAGGAAGAGTAGTAATGGAAAGAATGAATCTGACACTGAACGGGACAGAAGAGATGCAATGGGTTGCTGTCCCTGAAGGAATGGCAGCATGAAGGACAGAAGGAATAGGTCTCTGGAGTCTAGAGAAAAGTACAGGTTTGAGCTTACTTTGAACAGAACATAGGGAGACTGAGATGGGACCAAGTTGAGAGGGAAATAGGTAGAGGAAGACCCCTATCAACCTCTCGTAGAGACCTACAGTCACTGATGGCACACCAGACACAAGCTGATCTTCTGCAGGTCGAGGCAGATGTGGCCACACAGACAGATGTCAATACGGACACAGTGACAAGGGCAGACAGATGGACTCCTGTCTAGTTATTGGGAATGCGATTTGTGAAGGAAGCTCTGGAAGAGCTGTTCCAGGAGAAAGGAGAGAAAGGAGGCAGTGTATGCCAAGAAGGCAGGGTTGCGGCAAGAGAATGGAGGTAAAGGATTCTGCAGGTCTCTGTGAGCCTCGGGATGCTTTCCGGTTTTCTACCAGCCGTCAGGGAAAGCCGCTGGAGGGGGTTTGAGCTTGGGCACTACATGATCCAATTTACTACTGCTCAAGATCATTGCACTCAGATGCTACAGCACGGAAGCCTGGAAACAAAAGGGCATTTAGGATGCTCCTCTAGACATCCAGGAAAGAGGAAATGGCTTAGGAGCAGGGTGAGACTAGTACAAATGCTAGCAGATCAAGTTCCCTCTAACGGTGTCCTTCACTCAGTAAATTATGAAAGGTATCAAACAGAGAAGGGAGGCTGGATGGACGGGTGCGTTCAAGCTCATTTTATCTATGGGCTGTCACTCACCGCTTTTCAAAAGTTAGCATTCAGCAGCAAACTCAGTGGTCTGTAAAATGGGAATGTGTAGTTCTCAAAACATGAAGAAATTAAGTTGCATTACACTGTGGTGAAGTATTGACTAAGGCTTACAGTGCTTGGACAGCACTGGACTTATGAAACGTCCCAGTATGTTTTTTTTTTTAAGATCAACACTCAGCTCATCAGCCCAATGAATTAATCACTGCATCTCTGTGGCCTCTTTATTGCCATCTACTCTGGTGCAGCAAGGTCTCGTCACCTGTGGACTTTCAGTTCTCTTGAGTTCACAGTGTCTGTGTTCATACAGACGAGAAAATCCACCAATGAAAAGTCAGACACATAAAAAAACCAGTTATAAATATCTGCCTTTTAAACAAAAGATATGCCATATATTTTTATTAAATCATAGAAAACATCTGCATACAAATTTTTCCATTTTGGGGAAACTAGAATGTTAAACATCTCGGGAACAAAAAAGCTTGAAAGATACATCTCTCCTTAAGCAGAGACAACTTTTAAGTAATGTTTTTTTTTTGAAGTTGAAATAATTGCTAACACGTTGGCTTTTTCTATCTTTAAGCCAGGGAAATAATATCTCTTATAACCATCAATCTCCTTTAAGGATTTTTTTTTTTAAATTAAGTCAACATGAGCCAAACAGTTAACCTGAACTCTGAATACAAAATCCACTTCTTTTAAAGCTGCACAGCCCTGTAGACTATTGCAAATGCTGAATTTCCAAGAGCCGGTCTCATTTTACAGGGCTGACTACTCATCCTTGCTAGAGTGGCAAACGTACAGCAGTGCGGGACAGACCTCGGAATAAGTTAGATATTAAAACACAGAGCGTGGCAGTAAGGCTCCCACTTTGCTTTCTACCAAATAAATCAGCAAGTTCATCCTAACCTTATCCATTCGCCTGCCGATGGGTGAAGACCGAGGGACCCAGTGATACCCAAGACACACAGCAGCTCTCGGAGCCAGGCTCGCTGAGCAGCGGGGGCAGACGGTGCTTACCCTCGCTCCACAGGGGCCAGCAGACCCTGCCGCTGACACCTGAACACAGGCTGAGGTTCTGAAGTTTAAGCTGCCACTTGTTCCAATTCTGAACAGAGATTCGGGGTGACGTGGACATGCCTGCACTCGTACCAAATAATCACCATAATATAAACACAAGTTAAATATTATCAAAATAACTTTAAATTAAACTGAAGACCGCCACTCTTAAGTGCATGAAATGTTTTCCTTCCCGCTTCTTAAATGCACGTTATAGATCAAGAAGGACTGACAAGGAGCACATTAGGGGCCAACCAGCTTCCTTGGAGAACTCCCCGGAATGACACAGGAGACTGTGAGGGAGCAGTTATCAAGTACCATGGAGGGATGGTCTCTGAACGTCATTTCCCTAAACTCAAGTCTGGGTTTTTGGGTTCATCCAAAAAAAAGGGGGGATGGGGTCCTGTGAATGCCACCTTCGGGACCTGTGTCACGCCCATGGGGGCCGTGCTGTATTCCAGGAGCGGTCTTCCCTGATCCCCTTAATACCACAGGCCTCATGGGACCTCGTCCCTGACCCCTGCTTCCCCCAGGTAATCTGTTGACCTGGAGGTCTCCTAGGAAACATGTAAACAAATCCGGGAGACACTGCCTTTCTGTGTTTTCCTTGTGTCAGCGGAAAACCTTGGGGCTGAGAAGAAGACTAATGGGGGGGCTACCCCACATCAGCGACACACAGGCTTGCCTTGTGCTCGCCTTGCTGAGAAGACTGCACGGCCACACCACTTTTGCCTGGCTTTTGGGAAATGGTACTAAGCAGTCGGACCATCTTACTCTTTGGATTGTTTTACTCCTGAAATACGGCAAACATCTGTCAGAGTCCTTCGGCTTGTTCCTACTGGAGGTGGCTTGGAGACGAGGCCAGGCTCTTGTGCAGGTTGGGGTTCTGGCTGTGCCTGTTCCTGCTGCGGACAGAGGAGAACATGGTGTTGCAGCCCGGCACTTTGCACTTGTGGAGCTGGCGGAGGTGCACGGTTTTGTAATGGGCCCTGAAGGTCCCTTTGTTACTGTATATCTTTTGGCAGAGATGACAGGTTATGGGCAAGCCAGAGGGCAGACCAGCAAGGCTCTGGTCAGCCTTCTCCATCAGCACACAGATGGGGTACTCGTCTTCCCCAGAGACAAGGCTCTGTCCTTCAAGGTTCCCGTCACTGTCCTCCAGAAGAGCAGCACCCTCCTCGCTCACCCCATCAGAGTCCCACGAGGAGTGACTGCTGCTCTCTGACTTCATACTTGAGGTAGTGCTCAAATCCAGGATGGTGCCCTCGCTAGGGGGACCGGAGTTGTAGCTCTCCAGGCCGGCACTGTGAACTTGAGATATTGGGTAAACCAGACTGCCCATGCCACTCGTTCCCTTGAAGATGACAGATGTCTGTGATGCTTGTGGCGTGAAAGCCACATCCGGATAGGCCTCCTTGGCCACATCCTGCAGAAGGTAAGCTGCACGGAAGTGGTCCTCACTACTCTCCAATGTTTCATCACTCAGTACCTTCTGGTGGAGGCTGAGGTTCGCGCTGTGTCTGCAAGAGTGAACAGATGACAAGAGGTGAGCTGCTCTGCTTGTTTAGAGCCGTTGTTCTGAGTAGAAAGGCTCAGCAGACACTAGGAAAAGCCTGTGGTGTGCTAGGAGTACCAGCTGGGGTTGGCATCCTGTGAGCTGTGCTACGTGGTCAGCAGGTCCAAGACGGCTGCGTGGCTACCTGCCAGAAGCCAGCATTCCCCAGGAAAGCCAACACTCTGGAAACTTTAATTTTCACCACCAGATTAACATGGTGAATCTCTCAACCATAGAGGATGTTGAGACTACTTCAATTAGGCCAATTTAAGAGGGACACTAGGCTCACGCGGTGCCTACGAAGAGCATCAGTCACAAATGATAAGGAACTAAGCAGAATACTTTATTTCAGTGAACTGAGGAAAGATTTCCATCTGCAAACCACCCCAGCTAACATGGCCACTGACTGACTACCCAACAGCCTGCCACTGTCATGGACAGAAGGGATAGCATCTGGGGTCTACTGAATTAAACATGTTACTAAAACTTACATCCCCTGATTCCTTTCGCTCCTTTGATGTGGGTAGTAAAACACGAGAGATTCCTAATGTAGCTTCACATCTTTCTGTTGGATGGTCCTGGCCTAGGCCAGGTGGACGCGTTTCACGCCAGAAGTCCTGTAGGTGCAGTTGGCAGCCTAACCAGCGGGGAGTGGTGTGTGTGGTGGGGGGTGGTGGTGTGTGTCTGTATGGTATGGTGTGTGTGGTGTGTATGCATGTCTAGAGTGTGTATGGAGTGTGTGTGTGTGTGTGTGTATGGCGTGGTGTGTGTCTTTGTGTCTATCTAGGGCAGGTTGCATCTGCAGTCTTGTGAAGAACCAGACAGGAGTTTTGCAGATGCAGCAGTGTGAGCACCCTGCCAATCTTGCACCCGATGATTTTCTCCTCCCAGGCAGACGATGAGCATCCATTATGACACATGCTGTTTACCCCCAAGCTGCCACAGATGGAACCTGTAAAGCCGATGCTGCCCCTGCTTAGGGATCCCCTGATCACTTCTGACAAGAAAAAACGTCCCTTACACCAAAGGGTACAATCTTACAGGTGACAGGAAATGATCCCAGTAAGAAAAACGTCTCCCCCCAAAATACCAGAATTATGCCAGAGTCAGAAAATAAACTGTTCTCTAGATAACTGTTTCTCTCAATAAAGAATTAAATTTTCCCTTCTAAATCTCTCAAGGAATATGTATGAGGGAGAATCAGCCTTATTTCATAAAAAGTATGCAGTTTGGTTTTTTTTTTTTTTTTTTTTTTTTACCCCTTTATACAATTTTTTGTGAACATAATGAGAATTACACTCCGAGATCACCCACTTTGCAAGCAGCTCTTCTCAGCCTCGGCTCTGCCCTGTGATTAAGTTAATGTTCCGCACTGAAGGGCTGGTACATGTCAGCGGAAAACCAGACAGCAGATGGACATATTAATTCCGCTACATCCAAGCGTTTAAAAAAAAAAGTCAGACATTTACTGGAACCTGGGACATGAAGTTCTACTACAATGAAAGTCTCTGGGTCTCGTGCTGAGCCCATGGGTATCCGGTGAAGACTAACAGCTAACTCTCCCCTCCTCAGGCCTCAGGGGTAGCCATCCCAAAGTCAATCCCTATGGCCAGGAATACCAAGGATACAAAGACTGTCTGACCTTTCAGGCTTTCTTCTCCAAGGACTTTGCAAATCTGCATCCCTGCCTCGTGGTCCCGTCAACTTCCAGCTCCCACCTGGCTCCTCCCTCTCACATCTATTTAGTTGAGATCAGTGGCTCTCAATGCATGTTCTGAACAAGCCTAGCCCTCGACAGCCTTGTAAGCGCCGTAAGGCAAGAGTTCATAACTAATTATAAATTCAGGGGAGTTTTCTAGAATGTATATAATGTACAATAGTACACCAGACTGAATGCAGAAGCAGATGTGAGAATCCAGCTGTTTTTTTACTACACCAGATATTAGAGATATGTAAAAATACAAAATAAAGCCATTTATCTCACTATTATTTGTTTCAGAAAAATGAAAGCCTTTTCCTATTAAAATGTGATGTGAATTCTTGTTTTAAAGAGATGTATTTTTCCAGCTTTACTGCCTAATTCAGTAAACAATGATTGCTACAACCTAAACAGAGAAAAGCACTGGAAGGGCCTTAGCTGAGTTACGTAAGAAATTACGTAAGAAACGTTACGAAACTGCAACATTTAATACTTGCTGGCATGGACATACCCCTTCATCCGGGGGAACCTTGGTTAACATGTTGAGGAGTCTGGCTAAGCACCCTCATATCCAGGGTTCCAATATGTGTCAGTACGGCCTATATTTCACTGCAGCAATCTGCACAGCCATCTGCAGCTACCTTGCATTGTCCGTCTCTTTCCACTAGACTGAAGACTTTTGTGAGCAAGGACTACGTTCCCCGGCACCTAACACAGGAGTTACCGATCAAACCAGCATTTCAGGAGCTCCCCCGACACACACACCTCTCTCTCAGACCCTAGGAACTGCTGCTGGCAAGAGCTGTGGCTCAAAGAGGGGAAGTTTGTTGCCTTAACAACAGTGTAATGTAGTTCTCAACTTTTGACTTAGTTGAAATGGTGGGCCCGGGCTTGTCCTACTTAAAATGGTATTTTTAAAACTATAGATTTTTAGATAAATGTTCAGGGATCTTGACTATTGGAATAAGCAGTGTTGAAACATATATATTATAAGATGGGATTCTGTTATAGTTGAGACCTCTATGTACACACAGGTCAGAACACAAGAAAATGTTGACTGGATGAAAGGAAAGCATCATCTGAAAGAGCTGTCGGCCTAGTGTGTGTTATGATTTAGTAGGCACTGTGGACTACAACAGTCTCATAGACAGCGAAGATAATCTAGCTGATAGGACTACCTCTTCCTCACAACAACAACGTATTCATAAGCAAACCTTCCTCTTCTTGGAGGACAAAGGAGAAGGACTGGTTCACTAATTAGGGTACCCTAGTGGTTTGGTTTAAACATCCTAGCAACAGAAGCAGGAATTTTAACTAATATCCCCTGTGCTTTCTTCTCTTTATTAAAGACAATGAGAGTGTTCTTACGAGCCGTGGCCAGGAATGTGTGTGGGAGTCTTTACATTTTCACCCTCTTAACAAAGGAAGCGTTACAATTTGGACTAAGTTAGCGGTGGTGCTAACCTGCTTCACAGTCAAGCTTGTTTGAACAAATGTAGTTTTCACATCCTCTGAGCCATCTATCACACTGCACTTCATCAGACAGCTGACCCTTTCATTAAACCTCTTAGATCACCTTTGCTGGGCTTGCTTTTCCTTCCAGAGGCTGGGAGGAGGATGACCTAAATCATGGTTAGTGGTCCAAGTGCACAGAGAAAAGCACAGCGCTGTGCTCCATGGGGATAAGCCCTGTGCACGTGTACTCTTGAGTCTAGTCTGTAGGTTTTATGAAAACTCAGCATCCTTCAAAACACGTATCGAAGCCCCTGAAACGAGCTGCCAATCACCTTTATTCTCTGACAGGTTAACATCCTAAGAAGTCTCTAATCAAGTGGTTCCTCTTTCTGCAAGCTTTCCTGGGTTACCGAAAACCGGAGAAAAGGTTTCATGGGATAGATTCTTCATTTTAGGAGAAGAAAACCAGGCTGGTTTTGAGGAAATATGTGACACTTTAAAAAGCCCTCCCTCCATCCTCTCCAGTTATCCTTGATACAGGCCGCCAACGTGAGAAGCAGCCTACCACTCTTTACTCCACACGCATGGGTCATGTGTTTGTCAATCTGGAATCTCTTAGGCTTTAGAAAGGTATAATATGATACATGTGCTGAGATATATCAGAGCATCTATTAATAAGTTAATATTAATAGACTCATTGGTAATTTAATAACACCAAACCTACATAAATCCTTCAAGAGGGTAATAGTGGAAATCTACCACAAAAGCATCATGTCTTTCTAGGGCATGTTTTGTGGCTAAATGCTTTCAGATTTTTTTTTTTTTTTTGGAAGTGAAAATTCAAGAATTTCCCCTGAATAACCACTCCATCAACTGAGATCCTGCTAGGAATACAAACCCTCAAGTTTTACAACAGCAAATTGACCTACAACAGCGAATTCTAGGCTCAGGGCCCTGAGGCCTGTTTTCCTGACCTTTCAGGAGATCTCAATGCATGCTAAGGCTTAAGAACTGCTGCCTTAGGAGAGACAGCCGCCACAGACCCCGTACCTGTCTCTGCTTCTCCGGGATGGGAAGGCGGCACGGCACCCCTCCACCGTGCACGTGTGGGTGTCTTTGGCATGTGCGTTCTTATGGTGTGTCTTCACGCTGCAGGCGTTTTTAAAGGTCTTCTTGCAGATGTCACACTGGAAGTGGTTCTCTTCCTTCTCTCTCACCAGAGCATGCTCGCCCAGCTGTTCCAATTCTTTAGACTCTTCCAGGAAAGGAAAAGCCATCCCCCTATTGGACAACGCACTCAAGAGGCCCCCAGCCAGCAGGCGCTGCTGCCATTCCACGTAGTCAGGAAAAGGGATTTGGGGCCCCAGACCAGGTGTGCAGTGGCGCTCATGGCCACCATCCTCTCTTGGCATCGCTGAGGTCAACGCTAACTTCTGCTCAGCCTCCCTCTCTGTGTGTGTAGTCTGCTCAAGGGTTCTGCTGACAGCTCTGTGAGACTCAATCACAGATTCAAGATGGCACGGTCTTTCCCCCTGTGGGGGAGGCTTCTCTGGGCTTAGCTTGGTATGCTGCTCCTCAGGCACCACTTCTGACTGAGGGCTGTTGTCCTCTGGCTCATCTTCACTGACTACCTGCAGGGGAGTGTCATCATCTGAGCTGAGTCTGTGTCTCTTCTCATCAGCTATCTCCACAGCTTCTTTCTCTATTTTGATAGGCATACTGGACTTCCGGGATTTCTTCTTGGGAAGAGCATCAAATGGCATTTCCGTGGAAGCCAGCTGTTCTGGGATTGAAGAGGACAACAGAGGGAGAGAAGGCAGCATGCCAGGTGTGTTTGCCAGCTCAGCGGGAGTAGCTGGACTGCGGTAGAAAGGAAGGACTGGCTGGATAGTCTTTAGGTTAGGGAAAAGGACACCGTTTTGCCCAATGCTGGAAAAAGTCGGTTGGCCTTTGGAGTCCTCCACAGAGCTAGCGTAGGCTGGGAGGGGCCCGCAGTCCGGAGACATCACCGTGAAGCCCGGGCGCTTGTAGGTCCCTGAGCTTGGCAGGTTCAGGCTGTTCCTGAGGTCTTTGTCGCGGTTGTTTCTGTTCATTGGCATGTGCAGGCGGGGGTTGGGGTTGGCGCTGTGCCGGTTCCTGCTCCTCAGGGAGCTGAACACCATGTTACAGCCTTCGATGGTGCACTTGTGCTTGATCTTCAGGTGGACGGCGTTGTAGTGGATCTTGAGAGTGCCCTTGTCGTAGAACGTCTTCTCGCACGCGGTGCAGAACACGCGGCCCTTCTTTGCTCCAAGGCTGGTCCTCTCAGGCTTCCCTTTGGCCTCAGGCGACAGCTGGGTCCTTTCCAGCTTGGTGGCGATGCTGTAGGAGCTGGAGTCACTTAAGTGTGCACCGTCTTCCTTTTGGGTGACGGCCTCTGGACAGTTCAGACACTGTTCTTTTTCAACCTGAAATGGTGTGGAAGTTAAGAAGCTGCTGTCAGAGAAGGGCCCGTGGAGCTCCTGTTTGGGGTCCTGGCTCTGGTCCTGACCCTGCTCCAGCATATATTGCTCAGGCAGTGACCCTATCAGAGCAGGAGGCAGAGGGTTGAAGAACTGGAAAGGCAACATAAAAGTCATGTTGCTTATAAGGTTCTCAAAGGGGTGCATGTTGCTGGGGTTTCCCTTGTCCACTGGAGTGGGGAGGTTGGCACTCCTATGGCTGCAGCTCTCGATGAAAGCCCTGATGTCCACGTTTGCCGTGGAGGGTGGGATGATGATGGACTGCTCTTCCTTCTCTTGGATTGCCATGAGCTCAACTATGGACTTGGTCTCTCCAAAACGAAGGAACTGCTGCAAGGTAGCCACTTCCTCCTCACTGGTCATGATGCTCCAGTGATCCAACACCTTCCCTGAGGCATCCTAAACACAAACCAGAATGTAAGAGAACGTCCAGTTCATTGCTGCTTTTTCTGTCTCCCAGGGAGGTACCATTTCACCAAACCTCCACCAGACTGCAATAGGGCACTTTCGTGGGTCTCAGAAAAATGTGGCCCCACACAGGGCTTGCAGAGTTTAATCCCTGCCCATCCTAGGCAGGAACTCTGTGCATACCGTAACCTACACAAAAGTAAGCAGTGGCCCTACCACTAGTCTAGAAGAGCAAAATGAAGGTGTCTTAGTCAAACCCAAGTCAGGGACATGTGATAATTATTTTCTACCTTATTTCAAACCAGTTGGTCATCATATGTGATTTTTTGTCATATGCAAGGCACAATGATTTTCCTTATTAAAATCTGTATCATTTGAATGACAGTAGTATCTTCGTGTAATGAGTACAAATGTAGTCACTGTACAAGTGAAGTCTGGATGTAGCTCAAGCCTTCATTTCCTGCAAACTTAACCATCTCCTAAACACCTACCATCAAAACCCAAATGAGCACGTATTGATCTGCTGCCCATGTTCATAAAGCAGAGCTGTAATTATGCTGGAGTGCCGGAGATCTTTCAAACTCGAGCAAGGCCTAACTTTTCCCAAAACTACAATAAATATTTTATCACAGAACATGTATTTGATGGCCTACTGAGATTTTTCACAGTGCATGTGAGAGTTTTGACGATGAGGAGGAATGTAACATCATAAATATTTCATGCACCAGAGGTTCAAGGTAATTGATTCCATATTTTTAATCCTAACACTAGAAAGCAAGATTATTAGGATCATTAAATATTGATCTATGTCATAATACAAGACCATAATATTACTCTATGTATGGCCATTTCTAGTCAGCTGAGAGCCCTGAACCAGAGGTGTGCATATAGAATTCCAGGGAAAGATTATAGGCGTTTGAATTAGAAAGAAATGTGCTTATTTCTGTTTCTGCTCTCTACTGGTAGAGTAACTTCCAGAGAGAGCATAAGGCACTCAGAACCTTCTGGATTTTCAATCAGAAAGCAAGGTTAAATGGATATGGTGGCACACACCTTTAATCCCAGTTCTCAGAAGGCAGAGGCAGGTGGATCTCTGTGAGCTTAAGGCTAGCCTGAACTTCATAGAGAATTTTAGGTCAGCTAGGGCTACATAGAGAGACCTATCTTAAACCAAAGGAAAAAAAAAAGAAAAAGAAAGAAGAGAAAAGAAAGAAAACAAGGATAGTATGTCTACTTCATCATCAAAGTTCTAGAAGAATTGTCCATTAATAAAGGGGTGTTGTCAGTATTTGTTTTTAATGATACAGTCTACCTAAAACTGAAGTTAATATTCAACTTGAAAATACATATATCTCCCATTTTCCTGGAAAAAAAAAAACCTTTAACCAAAGTTTGCTGATATTTCTAGCATAGTGGCAAGAAACAGTGCTCTGTCATTTCAGGAAACATGTTATTTTCTCAGAAAACACTTTAATGGTCTCCGACTACGAAACATGAGGCTTTATACCCACGACATGATGGAGGAAAAGAAGTTAAATTGCTTTAAAAAAAAAAAAAGACAAGGTAGAAGACTGGAACACTAAAGAAAAGAAGTGTGTGAGGAAGCTGAAAGAGAATTTCAGTGTTGGTGGCAAGAAGAGGAGAAAGTGGAGGAAGAAGAATCAGCATCAGGAGGGACAGGAAAGGGGATGGAGACAGACAGAGTGGGTTAGCACATAAACACAACACCACCACAGCGTTGCTGAGGAGAGAAACTCAGTGCGAGCTTTCCAGAAAAGCAGAGCACAGACTTGAGTGCTGCTTGCTGCATAGTCCTGGCACAGAAGCGCCCTTTCTCACCCTCAGTTCCCAGGAAAATCTGACACACAAAGCATCTCGGGTCAGTGGGTACTTTGGGCATGATACATGTGAAGGAGGCAGTACCCAAACTGAAGCAAGTGCCTCTCTGTGGAGATCAGCTTAGTGAGATGCACCCAAGAGCTCGTGTCGTGCCCCCATAGCCTGACCTCTCACAGAGACTGTGGGAAAGCACAGGACTCCTCCCAGAACTTACACTCCTCCCAGGGGTGTAAGTCACTAGGAAGAAGTTCAAAGGGAAGGATGGCCACAGTGACCGGAAGGACTCCGGGTCCCCATCAGTCACAGGACACTCTAGGAGAAGAATGGGGCCGGGCTCACTGTACCTGTAGCACATAGCCACGGATGTAATCCTGAAGCGTCCAGTCCAAGGCGTGGAGGATCTGCAGGACCTCATCCTGCTTCAGCACACTGAAGAGCCGGTCCAGCAGGATTTTCAGGCGAACGGGAATGGCCTGGGTCCCATAGAGCATGAGGCTGCTGATATCGAACACCACACTGGACTGGACAATTTCCACTTGGCTTGTCGGATACACAGGGGGGATCCTCAGCTTACTGAGGGCTGAAAACCAAGTGTGAGACATTTGAGAAAGTGCTAATTTTAGGAGAAACACTGCAAAGCAAGTCAGCCAGGAGCTAGTCTTAGTTATCTGTTTCAACGGGGACTGGGGAAGGGCACAAGAATTCATAAAGATTTCATATCCCTAACAGCCACAGAGCTCCATGTTCTTCATGGAAACTTTTAAATAAAAATGATAGACTTAAGTTTTTCTCTCTCTCTTGTGATATGCCTGAAATGAAAAACCTTCACAAACCAGAGAAGGGGCAAAGAAAAGGGGGACACAAAAGCAGCAAGAACAGAATCAAGAGTGGACAGTTAAGAATCAAGAGTCTAGAGGTGAAGATGGGCCTGGGAACTTCAATGATCCGGAGTCAGGGCCTAATCTGCTGCCTGGGATGGGGCTTTAGGAATTAAGCCATGTAGATCCAGTCTGCTCAACATGAGAGCTGCCTGTCACCGGGGGCTATTTACATGAAATCAAAGTTAAAGAAAGCGATGCCACTTGCCACGTTTCCGGCATTCAGTAGTTACAAGTGGCTGTCGGATTTGGAGAATGCAAGAGCAGGGTGCCCAGTTACAAATTTCAGCTAAATCACAAGTAAGGGGCACACTGCTACCAGGACGCATTTCAGCCAACTTATATTAGAGGCTAATTATGACCACGGAACAGTCTGCTGCTGCTGTCATATAATAGCACTTGAAGTATCAGCTCTGACATATTTAGAATGGAGTTAATAAGCTACTGTGTAAGTTAAAACGTGAAGAGAGAACTTGGTAGCCTGTTGCCCGGAACACACTAGAGACTTGCTATTTAGCTCAGGAGTCAGCTGTCACTCTTTGCAATGGAATCAGTCCCTCTCTAAACGTGAGTTATCAGGGAGGGCGAGAGGGGAGAACTAGTTACCATGAGCCACCCATCCGTGCCTGCACTGTTCGCACTGACGGTGGTTTATCTTCCCAGGCTTGAAGCTTTGGCAACTGCAGTTCAGAGTACAGCCGATAGCCTGCAAGAGAGAACACACAGATGCATACAACGTAAGAGCTATGTGCAGAACTTGTTATACTTATTAAACGAAATCATTTCCCTCCTTCGTATGCATTCACTCAACAATGGGTGCCTTGTGTCAGGCCAAAGGTGCGTATTTCACCGTAGGAAGAGCGGGCAGTCCAACACTTGGGAGACCACAAACTTCAACACAGATATTTTGCATATGATAGTAAGCAGAACCTGAAAGGATTTCTGAGAACGGATTAGGGTCTGAAACCTTGCTGCTATGAAGGAAGATACAAAGTTGGAACCAAGTTTCTAAGCTGACCAGAGCAGCAACTCTGAAAGATGTATGAAGACTAGTTTGGAACAAGTAAAAAAAAAGTATCTGAAGAGTGATCCATGTATGGACTCTGCTACCCTCAGACCCTTAAGACATGGTAAGGCTGATTTGGGAATGTTAAGCAGATTTGGGAACACAAAATGGCTGATTCTACTACGTAAGGGTTAGAGGTGGATACAGGTTGGGCAAACCCCGTTTGCCTCGGCTGTGTACTATGGACCGTGTCCTGTATGTGTGTATGAATGTACGCGTGTGGTGTATGCAATGCACAAAAGCACAGTGGAAACAGAAAACAGATGCACGTGTCCAACAGAGCCCTGGTGCTAGGACTGAGAAGACACATAGGGTTGTGTGTGTCCATGTGCACAAGTGGTACCCTGCTGTACATTTGTGTGGGCACGCACGTGCAGACCAGAGGGTGACACCAGGCTCAGAGGGCCTTTCTCTGTTAGCCTCCACCGTTACTCGAGTCAGGGTCTCCTAGCAAGCCCGAAGCTCACCAAGCCATACAGACTGGATGGGCAGTGAGGGCTGGAGACCCTTCTGTCTCCATCCCCACCCTGCCCTGCCCCATTCCTGCTGTTACAGATGTGTGTGGGGCTTTCGCATGGGCGCTGCGGCTCTGAACTCAGGTTCTCCTGATTGCACGGCAGGCACTTTACCAACCCATCTTATCAGAGGTTTTCAAAAGATGGAGGCCTAACGGATGAAATCTGTTATTATAACAAACCAACTAACAAACAGAACTCTTTAAAGGAGCCAGTGAGGGTCCAACTCAGACGTCATTTGTATTTTTTTTTTTTAATATATGTTTTAAGCAACAGAGTATGCTTCTGGGTGAAATTTGAATGGTTCGAGAAAGCTCTGAAACTGGGAGGAATGTGTGTTCATAGAAGGGACAATAAAGCCTCTGAGTTTGGGACTTGACCATCCAGTGTACCAGTCAGGGGACTGTGAGATGTAGCATGGAGGGCAAGGAAGGGAGAATATGGCCAAGGATTTGGGAAATTCACTTCAAGGAGTGTGTAACCAGTCTCCCTTCAAAACCAAACCAAACAAACAAACAACCCCCTCAAAAAATAAACAGCTGTTTGTGGTGCTGCAAAATGTACAGCTACTTTGGCACAGTCTTGCAGCCTTTTTAAAGGTACGACCCAGAAATTCTACTCCTAGGTATACAGCCAAGAGAACGAAAAACATATGTCCATCCCTAAATCATCTACATTTCTGTTCACAGCATTACCCAAACAGTGACAGTGGAAACAATCCAGTATCTGCCAACAAATGAACAGGCAAGATGCGGTCTACCCATACAATGGATGTTTGTGTTCTCACAAAGGCACGGAGGATGGATGGATGCTACAAGTGGGTGAAGAAGCCGGGCATAGAAGTCACACAGCCTTATGGTTCTGTTTCTATGAACTGTCAGGAGGAGGCTAATCCATACAGAGAAGAGATTAGTGACTAGGAGGAATGAAGCAGGGAAGAGAAGAGACCATGAACGGGAAGTGGCACAGTATTCTTTGGGTTACATAAAGGAACACCTTGCTTTGTTGTAGGCTCATTTATTACACTTGTAAATATTTCAGTTTTTACAAACTAACAACCTGTGACAATCCTGAGTTGTCTATTAGCAGCATTTCCCTAATAGCTCAGAGTTTTCTGTATTTTTTTTTTTAAGCAATAGACTATGTTTCAATTAAGGTATTCACACTTTAAAAACATAACTGGCTTTTCACATTTAACAGATTATAGGATAAACAACTTTTATATGCACAAAGAAACAAAAAAATGTACTATTTTCTGTTTTATAGAATTGAGCACAGTCTCATCAAGATACGCCTGTAGTGATTGTTTAACGTGTGGAGGTACAGCCAAGTTGTTTGGGAAGCAGATGGGTTGTTCTGCTTTCCCACAGTAACAACATATGAGGGATTCGTCAACACTTGCTATTGTTTTACTTTGTGACTGTTTCAAGACAGTGTCTTATGCAGCCCAGACTGGTCTCAAGTTCACTCTTTAGCCAAGGATGACCTTGAATTCCTGACCCTCCTGCCTTCATCTGCTGAATGCTGGGATTACAGGGCCATCTTGCCTCACCTGAACTTTTTTTTCTTTTTAATAGCCATCCTTGTGTTCCTTGTGATAAGTGATATTGCACTGTGGTCTGATTCACGTTTCCTTGATAACTGATAGCTTAGCCTCTTTTCCATTTGTGCATATTCTCTGTTAGATCATTTGAATGTTTTTTTAAATAAGATTTTTCTGGTATTATGCTGTATGAGTTCTTTTATTTTCCAGATTCAACATTGTTACCAGATACATTATTTCAAGCATTTTCTCCCATCTTTTCTTTTTCTTTCTTTCTTTCTTTCTTTCTTTCTTTCTTTCTTTCTTTCTTT